GGATATGATCACCTTTAATAAGCTTGTCAAGGTTTCGCATGCTCACATGACCTAACCGTTTATGCCACAACCAGCCTTTGGAAGATTTAGCAATTAAGCAAGTTCTAGGTTGAGCCTTTTTAGTGAAATCAACAATGTATAGATCACCTCTACGTATGTCGGTAAAGACCATTTTATGATTATCTTTTCGAAACACTTGGCAATCTACTTCAGTAAATAGGACATTAAAACCAAAGTCAGCTAGTCTAGATACAGAAAGTAGATTATAGCCAAGAGATTCAACGAGCATGGCATTTTGTATGGAGCTGTCATGTGAGATGGCCACCTTACCGAGGCCAACCACCTTACCCTTTGAGTTATCACCAAAAATGACATACTTTCGAGGGTCGTCATTTTCAGCAAGCTCACGAAACATATCTCTGTCTCCGGTCATGTGATCGGTACATCCACTATCAATGACCCATTCCTTTCCTCCAGCCATGTAGCCGCGAAGGTTATCCATAAGACCAAAGTGTCTCATAGACTCTTTAAGATCAAAGTCATTATCATCATCCTCATCATAGTATCCATGTTCAACATCATCTTGCAAATGATCATTTTCTAGAGAGAGTGATTCATTAGATATATGATTTTGACAATGTTCATCTCTATGAATTCTAATAGCTTCGGAAATAATATTGCTAATGATTCCAGCATCTCCTTTGGCACGCATAAGATTGGTAACTTCAAATAAACAATCTCCAAACTTGGGATCATTGGGATTCATCTTATTCAAAGCAATAGATTTATGGAGAATCTCATCTATGTTTTTCAAGGAATAGTCCAGAAATCGTTCCTCAAGAAATTTCCATATAGTATAAGCACAATCAAGAGTTGGCAAATGACCAATCAAATTTCTAGGCAAGCCTCTAGTGATAAGATTGATAGTTCTAAGGTTGCGAATCATGTCAAGAGACTCATCATGGGTAGAATGCAAGGGATCAACAAGGGGTTCACAAGGAGTAGTAATGTACTTGTTCAAGTGATATTCATGAAAAATTACAAGCATATCATTTTTCCACTCACTAAAGAACTCTCCATCAAGCATAAGCGTTGTACGTCGAAGACTCCCCAACATAGACTCATCCATCAATGGTGATTAAACCAAAGCAATGGAGACCAATGCTCTGATACCAACTGAAAGGATCGAGAAGAGGTGTCTAGAGGAGGGGTGATTAGACCCTCAACAAATAAAGGTGGCAGTTTTTAAGATTTTCAAGTTGAGGTGGTAGATTAACACAATTTCAAGCATACACAATATGATTCAAGCAAGCATGCAAAGAATATATGAGCAGCGGAAAGTAAAGCATGCAACTTGCAAGAAAGTAAAGGGATGGAATTGGAGTGTGCAAACGCAATTGGAGACACGAAGATTTTTGGCGTGGTTCCGATAGGTGGTGCTATCGTACATCCATGTTGATGGAGACTTCAACCCACAAAGGGTAACGGTTGCGCGAGTCCATGGAGGGCTCCACCCACAAAGGGTCCACGAAGAAGCAACCTTGTCTATCCCACCATGGCCATCGCCCACGAAGGACTTGCCTCACTAGGGTAGATCTTCACGAAGTATGCGATCTCCTTGCCCTTACAAACTCCTTAGTTCAACTCCACAATCTTGACGGAGGCTCCCAAGTGACACCTAACCAATCTAGGAGACACCACTCTCCAAAAGGTAATAGATGGTGTGTTGATGATGAACTCCTTGCTCTTGTGCTTCAAATGATAGTCTCCCCAACACTCAACTCTCTCTCATAGATTTGGCTATGGTGGAAAGATGATTTGAGTGAAAAGCAACTTGGGGAAGGCTAGAGATCAAGATTCTTGTGGTTGGAATGGAATATCTTGGTCTCGACACATGAGTAGGTGGTTCTCTCTCAGAAAATGAATTTTGGAAGTGTAGGCATGTTCTGGTCGCTCTCTCCTCGATTGAAGAATGGGTGGAGGAGTATATATAGCCTTCACACAAAATCTAGCCGTTACACACAGATTCCCAAACTCGGTGGGATCGAATGGTAAAACTCGGTCAGACCGATTCGGGTCAAAATGTGAACGTTAGAGTTTTCGGTGGGACCGACAAGGTCAACTCGGTGGGACCGATGTGCAGGGGTTAGTGTAAAACCTCAACTCGGTTTGACCGATTACACAAACTCGGTGAGACCGATTTTGGTAATAAGCGAACTAAGTATTGGTCAAGCAAACTCGGTGGGACCGACTGAACAAACTCGGTGAGACCGAAAATGTTGCAATAGATCACAGAGAATTTGCAAGCCCATTTCGGTGAGAGTCGTGAGACCGAGATCCCATCGATGAGACCGAACTGATTAGAGTTTGGCAGTGGCTGTATCAGATGAACTCGGTGGCGCCGGATAGATCAAATCGGTAGGGCCGAGTTTGACTTTTAGGTTTAGGACATATGTGGATGTGAGAAAGTGGTTGAGGGTTTTGGAGCATATTACTAAGCACTTTGAGGAAGCAAGCCATTAAGCAACACCTCATCCCCTTTTAATAGTATTGGCTTTCCTGTGGACTCAATGTGATCTTGGATCACTAAAATGAAAATGTAGAGTCTTGAGCTTTTGCCAATATTTGTCCTTAGCATCTTGAAGGGGTTTCACATTCTCTTGCCATGTCCATGCCACTCCAATGAACTTATCTGAAATATACTAGGTAGAAGTATTAGTCCAACAAAAGATATGTTGACATAAATTACCAAAATCACCCAAGGAGCATTTGTACTTTCACCTCCCCAAAGGTCTTCAGAATTGGAGAAATCGCACGAAGCTCATCCTTGTGTGGGTTCGCAAAAAATGCCTGTATCGCCGGCGTAAAGGGAGATTCTGCATCTGGCCGTCCTTGCACAAATGGGCTTGAGGATAACTAGTGGCTGGTGCAGTAACCTACGAGTGCACACCAACGGCTGGTGCATAGATGTTGGAAGTCGGCCACCGCAGTGCTGCGTGCCGGCTGCGGCCGCTGGAAGCCACCAGACTGTACCTCTCGCCTCTGGAGCTGCATACGACATCGCTCGCCGTTTGATGTCTCCGCCGTCGTGGAGGAGCACCGGAGTCCATGGCTGCGCAACAACAGATCCGGCAACTTGATTTCTATTACAAAAAAAAATTCTACAACATGAACTGTGTTCAAAAAAAATTCTGCGGACATTTCCACAACATGATCCGTGTTGCAAAAATAAGATAAAATAACATAACCTCAGTTGCAAAAAAATTCCATAAACATTTTTGCGACATGATCTCTACTAGAAGAGAATCTGTAACATAACTTCTGTTGCAAAAAAAATCTACAACCGTTTCTACAACATCATCTCTGTGGCAAAAGAAATCTACAACGTAACCTCTGTTGCAAAAGTTTCCGCAACACGACCTATGTTGAAAGGTTTCTGCAACATTATCATTGTTGCCGTTGTCGAGCGTGTGAGTTAGCCGCTCGATGTTGCCACATCTGATGGCTGGCGACCCGACCGATCTTTTAGAAAGATCAGCCGACGGACATGTAGCACGCCCCTTTACGTTATGTAGCATGGCAAAAATAAGTGAAAATGTTCCTAAAACTATGGCAATTATTTGCAAAATGGCATGGATTTTTTGGCATGTTTTCAGACCATGGATTTTTTTTAAGAGCATGGCATTATTTATTTATTTATTTATTTATTACACCAATATGATTTATTATTATGTTGGAACATGGAAAAATTATTGGAATTAGAATGACTTTTTTAACATACCTTTTAAAATTCTTTTTATATACTTTTTACAGTTTTACCGACATGGCATTTTTTCGCCTTTCTCAAAGCACAATTTGCTTTTTTTTCCAAAAGAATATAATATCACGAAATTTGCCATGTTTATATGACTAACCTAACATGGCACTTTCTTATTTTGTTAGACCATGGCATTTTTATTAGTTAGAACCATGGTAGTTTTAGTGTAGGTAGCATGGCATTTTTATTATTTGGTATATGTCATTATTATTATTATTTAAATGATGATATTTTTCTTTTTATATACCATGGAAATTTTTATAATTGGAGCATTGTAGTTTTATTACTTTAGAGCACGCCATTTTTCATTATTTGTACACCATAACAATTTTTTATCTGGAACATGGAAATTTTATTAGATTTATCATGTTATTTTCTTTAATATATACTATTTTACATTTTATCGACATGACAATTTTCTGCCTTTCTCAAAGCACGGTTTTAATTTTATGTATGCCTTTTTTTAGTTATTACGCAAATCTGCCACGATCAATCCCTGGTCAATTTGAACATTATGGTATTTTTTATTATGTGCATCATGGCATTTTTAGTGGATCATCGCATTGTTTCATCTTGTTTTGATTTTTCTGTTATGGCGAAGAAAATACATATCATGGGAACTTTATTTTTGGATAATGACATTTTTATTGTTGATATCACAGGAAAATGGGCTTTTTTGGGTCCAATTGTTCGGCTCAGATACGTACATTACTTTTTTAGCGTCTTCTTCCCTCATCATAAGTCCTATTTCTATCGCTCCCGTAGCCGCATTCCAACCAAATTCTCCTTCCTTGCACCAAGGTACCCCATGCCATGAAAAACCGTTTGCGACGAGAACGACATTTCCACAACAACCACAGCTACCACATCAGCTCTGCTCACGACACTACCGATTAATCCCTCCCACTGTTTTTAACGTCCAAGCCTTTTCTCACACGCTTAGCCGTTGCAATTCAATCACTACACCCAATCGCGGGCACAAAATTCTCTCGCTACCAGAAGACCCAAACTTGCAGGAAATGTCATGGTTTGCACCTGCGCTCGCTGCCACTCCACACCCGTGCAGCCGTGCTATAAAACCAACGCCACTCGGTGCACACTAGATCATCACCAATCACCACCAGCTTCTTGCCCAACAGAAGCACAAAGGCATTCACCGAGGAGGAAAGCTGAAGGCACAGCAATGGCAGCTCTCAGCTCCACGGCCGCAGCCATTGCCATCCTTGCGCTCGCGACCATGGCCGGAGTAGCTCTAGGAGCGACGGCGGGGACAAAGAAGGCGCCGGTGATCTACATTTTCGGCGACTCGATGTCGGACGTCGGCAACAACAACTACCTCCTCCTCTCCATCGCCAAGTGCAACTACCCCTGGTACGGGATTGACTACGAAGGTGGCTACCCCACCGGGAGGTTCACCAATGGCAGGACCATCGGAGACATCATGGGTACGTAAGCTGCTTGTTTCTGCTGCTCCACATCCACATGAATGGCAAAATGTGATGTGTTTTATTCGGGGGTTTGCGTGTCTGCAGCTGCCAAGTTTGGCGTCCCACCGCCGCCGCCGTTCCTCTCCCTGTATATGACCGACGATGAGGTTCTCGGCGGCGTCAACTTCGCGTCCGGCGGCGCAGGACTTCTCAATGAGACCGGCATTTACTTCGTAAGCGATCGAGCCATGATGTTTCATCTCCTCGTTAATTGTTGCAGAATATGCTTTCTTTGGCAGCCGGAAGCATGATGATATATGGGGTCAATGCGATCTTGCAGGTCGAGTACCTGTCGTTCGACAACCAGATATCGTACTTTGAGCAGATCAAGAACGCCATGATCGGCAAGATCGGCAAGAAGGCCGCCGAGGAGGTGGTCAATGGCGCAATCTTCCAGATCGGACTTGGTACAGTTTAAAAAACATTTGATTTGCTTCAGATGATCAATCAGTTGCCCCGCACGCAATGTACAAGTTGATACGACGAGCATACCCTTTGCTTTGCAGGGAGCAACGACTACGTCAACAACTTCTTGCGGCCGTTCATGGCGGACGGCTTCGTGTACACCCACGACCAGTTCATCGGCCTCCTCATGGAGACCATCAGCCAGCAGCTCACGGTACGTAAGACCGAACGACGCCAGTAAGCTGTAAGAGTACCACGTACCGTTGACGTAATTATTTTGTTTCTGCAGAGGTTGTACCATCTCGGGGCGCGTAATGTGTGGTTCACGGGGCTCGCGCCGCTCGGCTGCATCCCGTCGCAGCGCGTCCTCTCGGACAACGGCGAGTGCCTGGAAGACGTGAACTTGTACGCCCTTCAGTTCAACGCCGCGGCCAAGGACCTGCTGGACCGCCTCAACGCCAAGCTCCCCGGCGCGCGCATGTCCCTCGCCGACTGCTACTCCGTCGTCATGGAGCTCATCGAGCACCCAAAGAAATACGGTAACGATCTGCACATGCCAAGGGATCGACGCACTGTCTGTCTTGCAGCGAGCTAATGGTCATTCGATCCGTGCGTGCAGGTTTCACGACGTCCCACACGTCGTGCTGCGACGTGGACACGTCGGTGGGGGGCCTGTGCCTGCCGACGGCGGACGTCTGCGACGACCGCAGCCAGTTCGTGTTCTGGGACGCGTACCACACCTCCGACGCGGCCAACCAGGTCATTGCCGGCCGCCTCTACGCCGACATGGTGAGCGCCGGCGACGTGCAGGAGGGCAACACCACCGTCTCCGACGCGCCTCGCGTCGTCCGGTCACCACGCCCCGTGCCTCCTTCCCGGCCCGCAGTGCGTGGTGGCGGCAACACCACCTCCGCCCCCCGCGCCGCGCCGGCCGCGCGGCCTGTGCATGGCAACGGCACCACCTCCGCGCCCCGCGCCTCGCCCGCAGCGAGGCCTGTGAATGGCAACGGCACCACCTCTGCGCCTCCCGTCGTCGGATCATCCTCCCACGCCGCGCCGCCTCCCCAGCCTTGAACAATCCGATCAAGCAGACACATTTTCGTGTCTCGTTCGTCTCCACTATACGTCTATACCAAACATGTACTTTGACACTCGGTGAATTAATCAAAGCAGAGAGCAGATTATGCTACAACACTACTACGTACTCGTACTGGAGTATGATTCCTAGGTCACAACGTTTGCGTCGGCTTTATCGTGAAGGATATCGCGTTCCCGTCAAGGTCTTCTACGAGACGGCGTATCAGCACGCATCTCCGACTCGATTTACAAACGGGTTAACCTGAATACGCCATATATGGAAACAGAGTACCGGCTTCCCTGTAGTTGATACTGAAAATATCTGCGTCTCCCACATCCAAAAATCGACAAGCCCGCCCGCACCGGCGCGATGATGAGCTCGTTCTTCGGGCCGGTGGATGGGGTACTAGGCCTCGTAATGGCGTGGCTTCTGATCTTGTTCCCTATTGTGGGGTTCTTAGCGGTAATTGCAGTATGCCTCTGGAGCCTCTGCGGCGGCGAGCGGGCGGCAGAAGCGAACGCACCCGGACGACGATTGGGCCGATTGGCCGAGGTGATGGCGGCCATTGAACGGGCGGAGCAGATGAGGCCGGCGACGGTGGCGCCAGCGCCGGAGCTGATGGTGGAGCTGGGGTACTTCCCGTACTCGGCGGAGGGCAGGCGGGCGTCGGAGAGGCTGGTGCGCGCGATCTGCCTGGAGGAGCTCCAGCAGGGACAGGCTTGCAGCGAGGTGCCGGTGTGCCGGCACGTGTTCCACCGGGACTGCATCGACGCGTGGATGAAGAGCCAGACCACCTGCCCGTTGTGCAGGCGGAATATCGCGGACGGGTCAGAACGAGTATCGGCTGCCATTGACATGGTTTAGCTTAGCGCGCAAAGAGGTGTCTAGAGGCGCTGATATGTTCTTTTAGCCGATCTTGCTAAATTTTATTAATCATGAATAGTGTTTACAGGTACATAGATGGGTTCATATGTCATGTCAAGTCATACATGGTTCCACCACTATAGATATACTCAACCCTTCACAAATCATATTAGACAAAAAAGTGATTTAATTAAAATAGAGATTCAGTTATTTCAAAATAGACATTTCAGTCATTTGATTAATTAGAAAACTATTTTTGTTCTTCATAAAACGGAATTCGATTATTTTAAAATTGTGATTCGAACAACTTCAAATGTTTCAGTTTCATGTTTAAAAAAATGATTTCAAAGATTACAAATAAGTGATGCAATGTTCCACAAAAGTTTGATTTAAAGAATTCCAAAAAAGTTCCAAACTTCAAGTGATTTTAATTATATCAAAAAGTGATAATTGCGAACCAACCTGTGGTTGGATGGTTAGGAGGATAGTCCTTGGGTTCAGATTATTTCAAATAGTGTGACGAACAATTTCATTATTTCAAAGCTATTATGATTTTTTCAAGTTCTTATCTGGAAAAGGTGGTTTTAATTATTAAAAATAAGCAATGTCAATGTTTCCAAAGAGTTTGATTAAATAAAACAAAACTGATTTACTATTTCATGGAACGTATTGCAATTATTTCAAAACTATGATTTTGTTATTTAAAAATGGCTATTTATGATATTTCATTAAATCAAAAAATATTTCATTATTTAAAAAAGTGATTTCAATTATTCCAACTTCATAATATGATAGAAACAATAAAATTCAGACCGGTCAAAATGTATCTGAGGTTGGTCTTGTTTTAAAGGTCTTAGCAACCTGAATTGAGATAGTATATAACAAAATTCAAGAGTGAAATTTTGATTTAAAAGTTGCCAGTCATTTAGAACGTCGCAATAAAAACAAAAATGGTGACAACTCGTGTGCATGCAACTGTATTCGTATGCCTGTTCAAAAGTTGTTAGAGCATCTCCAAGGCCGGTCCTCAAAACAGACAGTGTCTTTGTTCCCTAACTAATCTGGACTCGTCCTCGGACAATGATACGAGAGCAAACCATCCAATCATAACCTCTAAACTCCAGCATCTATTTTTTTAGCCCATGAGCTCATATTAAATATCCCTATAATTTAAAATATACAAAAGCGACAATACTTCTAGTTACAATCCAACTAAGTTTTTAAATAAAATAGTTCAAATTTGAATTGAACTCACTCATATGTTCTAGTTGTCCTCTTTAATCGCTCACAAATAGTCAATCAAATCTTCCTTGAGCTACTCATGAGTTGTTTGATGCCAAATTTATGCATTTGGACAAACTCATCAAACGTGGCCTGATTCTGATGTGGAAGTTGGATGAGATCACCCATGTTGTCAAATTACAGACCTCGGACAGGGACGGCATCGTCACCCTCATCTTTTATGATCGTGTTCTACATGATCACACAACATGTCATCACCTCCCACAAGCTTTACATATTCCAATGTTTAGTAGATCCACGAACAACTGTAAAACGGGCTTGAAGCACTCCAAATGCCCTCTTCACATCCTTTCTAGCTCCTTGTCTTTAGCAAAGTGAGATCTTTTCTAGTGAACTGGCTCAAAGATGGTCTTGATGAATGAGGAGGATAGATGCCGTCGATGGTAGTAGCCCATGTTGTACTAATGCCCATTGATAGTATAGTTGCAAGGAGGATCTTTCCCTTCAGTCAAACCTAGCAAACAATGAAGACCGCTGCAGCACTGTAACACCCCAATAGTTACGCTACAATGATCTCGTACTAAAGATGCCATGTCATCGCATTTTGCTAAGCTTAATTACCCTTCATAAAAAAACCAAGTCAAATTCAAGTTTCAAATTGCAAGTCAAAATATTTATTTCTTCAAACAGTAAAACTAAAATATTAATGATACCGCAAGTATTCCCCAGGCAATTATCATGTTGAAACCCAACCCATTTGAATTACTGTTTAGTCCCTAGTAACAAGTACTCACTCCATAAAATTAGTACAAAATTGACTCACTTATTTTGGCACGGAGGGAGTAAATAGCAGCAAGAGCATTTAAATTGTCCTTTTCAAAATAAACAAATACTCCCTCTGTTCCCAAATATTTGTCTTTCTAAGCATTTCAAATTGACACAACATACAAATGTATGTAGACATATTTTAAAATGTAGATTCACTCGTTTTGCTCCGTATGTAGTCATTTGATGAAATCTCTAGAAAGACAAATGTTTGGGAATGGAGGGAGTATGTACCTTTTCAAATGGCCTGAAACTTTTTGTGCGGATCTGGTATGTCACAAAGTATTTATGTACAAAGTTTGACCTAAAAATAAAATCATTTGATAGCAAAAGAAAATCATTTGACGGAAAACCAGACAAGCGGACGGATGTGGATGATGTTGAATGGCAAACTACATCTGCATAATGTGATTCGCAAGTACGTGGGGCGAATTGAGGGTCCGATTTGGAGATGTCCTTACACCGTGTATAGATCTAATGTTTCAGAAAAAATGTTGTGCAGATTATACACTTGAAATGACCACAGCGCTCTGCAGAACCACACGAACGGTGGATTCTTCACCATTAGCTAGCCTCACCCTTAGAGCATCTTCAATCGTTGGCCCCCCAAGGAGCGTGTAAAATCACTGTCTGGGGGCGAGCCGACGCTAAAAATCAGCATGGGGCGAGTGGGTTCGCAGCCGCCGAACCCAGGGCCGCCCACCAGACGTCGTTTATGTTTAAAAAAAAGAGTATGCTGCAAAGTTCGACTATAATTCGGCTAAAATTCGACAAACAGGGCATATATTCGACATGTTCGACATTTTACATAGTAAATTTATTAAAAAAAGGCCGCAAACTACAACTACGGACCGAAGAAGTCGCAGAGCGCGGCGAAGTCGCTGCCGTCGCCGCCATCCTTGCCGTCGTCGAGGCGAGGGAGGCCACCGGTTTATATAGCCCCGCCGTGTGTACGCATGGCGGGAGGGGAGGCGTCGCCGCGCTGCCCGTGATGCGCCGCCCGTGATGAGGAATCAATGGCAAGGCTGACCGGCGGCAGCCTTGCCATTGATTCCACGCGGGAAACCGAGGCGTTCCGACGACGACGAGGCGCGTGTCGCTGACTCGGCGGGCCCGCGGCTCTTTCGCGCCAAAATCGCTCGCCCCGGCATCCCTGGACGCCCCCAACATGCCAGGTTTGGTGTGGGTCCGTCGACACTGATTTTGGCCCAAACCAGCAAAAAACGGGCTCCTGGAAACGTGAGTGGGCGTTTTCTCGACACCAGCGCGAAAAAATCGCCTAGGGGAGATGCTCTTAGGGCATCTCCAGCCGCGCCCCCAACAGGCCCTCCCCAGGCGATTTTGCCGCGCCGGCGTCAAATAAAGGCCCCAGTCGCGCCCCCAGAAGCCCGTTTTTCGCCGGCTCGGGCCAAAACTGGTGCCGGCGGACCCAGGCCGAACCCGGCGCCCTGGGGGGCGCTTGGGGAGCCGGCACAAGCGAAAAAGGCGTGTGGGCCCGCCCTGGAAGCGACCCGAGGGTCTTTTCCCGCCGTTTCTTGACGCTTTTCCCTCGCATCTCTCCCGCTCGCTCGCCTCCCTCCCGCCATTCTCTCCCTTTCTCCCGCCAAACCCCCTCCCACTCACCGCGAAGAAGCACGCCATGCCGCGCGCGGCGGCAACCGCGACTGGCGCCGTGGCCCAGCCGAAGCAGAGGAAGCCGAGGGTGCCGCCATCGAAGCCACCGGGCCTGTCGAACGCCGAGTGGAGGGTGAAAGTTCAGCGGCGCGAAGCAGTCACCGCCGACAGGCGGAACAGGGCCATAGCCAAGAAGGCCCGCGACAACGCGACGCGCGCGGCGACGTCTTCCTCATCGGTCGACCAGGCGGGGATGAATCCACCCGTCGTCAGCCACGCCCAGTACGCGCCCTGGGGACAGCAAGGCGCCGGATCTCCATGGGGTTCATCGTCGCCCGGCTACGCCGACGGCGACGCGCACGGTGGGTTCAACCCAAACGTGACCTTCCCTCATGGTCACCCCGCTACGCGTTCAGGCCCGGGCCGTCCTACGCGAAGAGAAGACCGAGGC